GGGGAGATGATGGGATGATGGAGGAGATGATTGGATGATGATGGAGGAGATGACGGGATGATGATGGGGGAGATGATGGGATGATGATGGAGGAGATGATTGGATGATGATGGAGGAGATGACGGGATGATGATGGGGGAGATGATGGGATGATGATGGAGGAGATGACGGGATGATGATGGGGGAGATGATGGGATGATGATGGAGGAGATGACGGGATGATGATGGGGGAGATAATGGGATGATGATGGAGGAGATGATGGGATAATGATGGGGGAGATGATGGGATCGGAACATGATGGAAGGGGTGCATGTGGTGAGACGAATAAGGGTGCTTGCCAATGGAGTCAGGAATGGGCCCTGTCAAGCTGCTGTGACCAAGGCTCCTGACATTGGAGGGCGGGATGGTGATGGTGATGGGGGAGAATCATAGTTAAGACCGCAGGGATGCAGGGACGCAGGAATGGGCTCTGTGAAGCTGTTGTAACCAAGGCTCCTGGCATTGCAGGGAGGGAAAGATGATGGGATGATGATGGGGAGAGGAGATGACGGGTTGAGAGCATGGTGGAAGGGGTGCATGTGGTGAGACGAAAAAGGGTGCTTGCCAATGGAGTCAGGAATAGGCCCTGTGAAGCTGTTGTATTGTAACAACAGCTCCGGACATTGGAGGGAGGGATGGTGATGTAAGATGATTCTTTCTTTAGTAAGTATGCAGGGGAATGGAAGAATTGTGCATGTGAAGCTGGTTGTGACCAAGGTTGCTGATATTCGAGGGAGAGATGATGGGAGAATGATGTGCACGAGGCAAGACAAGTCAAGGTTTCTTGCTGGATATGACGGCATTGGGCTGGCTCGACAATCTGGTGCGAGGTGACTCTTGAGTTGACTCAAAATTCACCTCTTTGCTGGATATGACGGCATTGCCAATGGAGGAGATGACGGGATGATGATGGGGGAGATGATGGGATGATGATGGAGGAGATGACGGGATGATGATGGGGGAGATAATGGGATGATGATGGAGGAGATGATGGGATAATGATGGGGGAGATGATGGGATTGGAACATGATGAAAGGGGTGCATGTGGTGAGACGAATAAGGGTGCTTGCCAATGGAGTCAGGAATGGGCCCTGTCAAGCTGCTGTGACCAAGGCTCCTGGCATTGGAGGGCGGGATGGTGATGGTGATGGGGGAGAATCATAGTTAAGACTGCAGGGATGCAGGAATGGGCTCTGTGAAGCTGTTGTAACCAAGCATTGCAGGGAGGGAAAGATGATGGGATGATGATGGGGAGAGGAGATGACGGGTTGAGAGCATGGTGGAAGGGGTGCATGTGGTGAGACGAAAAAGGGTGCTTGCCAATGGAGTCAGGAATAGGCCCTGTGAAGCTGTTGTATTGTAACAACAGCTCCGGACATTGGAGGGAGGGATGGTGATGTAAGATGATTCTTTCTTTAGTAAGTATGCAGGGGAATGGAAGAATTGTGCATGTGAAGCTGGTTGTGACCAAGGTTGCTGATATTCGAGGGAGAGATGACGGGAGAATCATGTGCACGAGGCGAGACAAGTCAAGGTTTCTTGCTGGATATGGCGGCATTGGGTTGGCTGGACAATATGGTGCGAGGTGACTCTTGAGTTGACTCAGAATTCACCTCTTTGCTGGATATGACGGCATTGGGCTGGCTGGACAATCTGGTGAGATCCAAAAGGCCTTGGCTCATGACAAGAGGGCATCAGCCCAGCTCAGCCCTGACTAGGGCGAGCGAGATACGGTGTGGCTGGCTGGCTGTCACATGCACACCCGGTTTGTTCCGAGGTGGCGTTGGCGAGCCGTTGCTGAAACACGTATGTGAGGTCCCAGGGGTCCCAGGGGTCCCAGGGGTCCCAGAGGTCCCAGAGGTCCCAGAGGTCCTAGAGGTCCCAGAGGTCCCAGAGGTCCTAGAGGTCCTAGAGGTCCCAGAGGTCCCAGAGGTCCCAGAGGTCCCAGAGGTCCCAGAAGTCCCAGAGGTCCCAGAGGTCCCAGAGGTCCCAGAGGTCCCAGAGGTCCCAGAGGTCCCAGGGGTCCCAGAGGTCCCAGAGGTCCCAGAGGTCCCAGAGGTCCCAGAGGTCCCAGAGGTCCCAGAGGTCCCAGGGGTCCCAGGGGGAGGAGCCCTGAGTGAGGACCCCTGGGACCTCACAGACGGCATCAGCCCAGCTCAGCACTGACTAGGGCGAGATACGGTGTGGCTGTCACACCCGGTTTGTTCCGAGGTGGCGTTGGCGAGCCGTTGCTGAAACAAACAGGAGAAGAAGTCACATGCTGCCACTACTGAGTAGTTTGCTTTGTTTGGATGCTTCGTGAACGAATGGGTGTAAGGTCAATGAGTGGGGGGGTCTATGCAGAGGAGAGGAGTCATCTAGCGTACGGCCCTTCCTATGAAGATAGCTCACAGGGCCGTCAATGCTTCAAGGTTGCCAATGCTTGAGGAGATTGAGCCAGTCAAATTGTTTGCCAGAAGATTTCTGCATTTTGTTGAAAAAGGGTGTAAGAAAGGGTGAGTACAGGCAAGAACAAGCGTTAGTGTGATACTATATAGATTGGCTGCAGTGCAGGCATATGTGCAAGGAGGGAAAAGGTGTTGCAAAGAGCAACGTGGCACAGTGGTGCAGTGCGCCACAGACATGCTCAAAGCAAGCATGAACAGCTTGCTGCTCATAAAAATCAAACAATGCCAGCCTTGCCAAGAACGTGTGTGGCAAAGAGCAGCACGGCACCGGTACAATGCAGTGCAGAGCGGTGCGGCACAGTGCAAATTCCAGAAGCCCTGCTAAAAGCGAGCGTGAATAGCTTTCGCATCAACACCAATGCCACCCATCCTTCGAATGAATAAGAAGAAATTAAATCTTCTACTCTTTTCTTCCTCTACCAGTGTTTCGAGCATTCGTCTGCATTCAAAATAGCAGACAGCTTTTGGTAGTATCAAGAATCCTAAGGCATGAAGAGGCCCAACCACCATGCCAATTTGAAGCCCATAACTGGTGAAATGCCTTCTGAGGCGTTTAAGAAATGCTGAAATGCACGTGTGGTGATTAGCTAGGGCTGACCTAGCTGGGAGACCAAAAAGGACTGCACTGCACTGCACTACACTGCACTGCACTCACAACATGTTAAGATTTGTGAGATTGTAAAGCGATTCAGGAATCGTGCCGGTCAGCTTGTTGTAGTGTAACATTCTGCAAGGAAGGACGAAAATAGAGGGCACACAAAAGGGCACATAGAAGGGCACACAGAAGGGCACACAAAAGGGCACACAGAAGGGCAGACAGAAGGGCACACAGAAGGAGATCGAGCATAAAGACCAAACTCCACTTGCATGTGGTGTGTACGACATGCAATACTGCTGAGAAACATTCCCTCACCGCACCATGCCACAGCAGCAAGGCTATAAGGTGCCCGCACCATGCCACAGCAACAAGTAGAGAAGAGAAAATGCAAGCAGAGTGTGTAAAGGCAGTGAGGGTGGATAGGCAGTGACTGTGTGGAGGCAGTGAGTGTGAAGGCAGTGAGTGTGAAGGCAGTGAGTGAGCGTGTTAAGGCAATAGGTGTGTGACAAGGCAATGAGTGTACCGGACATCAGAGAGGGCAGGAATACAAGAGGCTCGCAAAAAGTCAAGAATCTCACAAATCAATGAGATTTGAAAGGTTGCCAAGGAAGGCTGGCATTGAGCCAGTCAGGTTGTTGCTATGGAGATATCTGTACGTAAGAGCGGAGTGTATGAACGGACTCCACAGTAGGGTTTGTTTGTGATATGCCACAGCAAAGTGGGTGAAAGCGGCATGATGCCAGCTCCAAATCACAGAGTGGCCCGAGCCGAGTTTTGAGGCGCCTCAAAAGAGGCAGCTTCTAATCACCGAGTGGCACGTGCTGAGCACTCAGGAAGAGTGGCAAGCCAGATATGACCTACAAGGGTGTCAAGAAAAATCATGTGGTGCAGAGCAGATGCATCATGCAATGTGGGTGACACATGACATGGCATGTTGTGCGGATGTAATATGGATGACACATGACATGGCATGTTGTGCGGATGTAATATGGATGACACATGACATGTCGTACAGATGCAATGTGGGTGACACATGACATAGCATGTGGTGCGGATGTAATGTGGGTGACACATGACATGGCATGTGGTGCGGATGTAATGTGGGTGACACATGACATGGCATGTGGTGCGGATGTAATAGTACGGGTGACACATGACATGTCGTGCGGATGTAATGTGGGTGACACATGACATGGCATGTGGTGCGGATGTAATACGGATGACATATGACATGTGGTACGGATGCAATGTGGGTGACGGGACATGGCACGTGGTGCGGATGCAATGTGGGTGACGGGACATGGCACGTGGTGCGGATGCAATGTGGGTGACGGGACATGGCACGTGGTGCGGATGTAATGTGGGTGACGGGACATGGCACGTGGTGCGGATGTAATGTGGGTGACGGGACATGGCACGTGGTGCGGAGGTAATGTGGGTGACGGGACATGGCACGTGGTGCGGATGTAATGTGGGTGACGGGACATGGCACGTGGTGCGGATGTAATGTGGGTGACGGGACATGGCACATGGTGCGGATGTAATGTGGGTGACGGGACATGGCACGTGGTGCAGATGTAATGTGGGTGACGGGACATGGCACGTGGTGCCTATGTTGGAAAAGTCGCGCCCAGCGCATTATACGCAAGCGTATATACGCTTGCGTATAGTGCGTTATGCGCTTCGTGAGTGACTTTGAAAGTCGCAGAAAGTACGCTGCCTGGGCAGCAAAAGGTTTTTACCGGGCAGACAAAAAAAACCGCCGAAGGAGGGGGGGGGGGGGAGTGGTGGTTTTACCGAATTTCATATATTGAAAAAACCCACCATTCTCAACTACTCTAAGCAAGCAACATGCATCTCTCCTACCCCACCCCCTACTCCCACCCTCTACTCCCCCCGTCCCTTCCTTCCTCCTCTACTTGTACTCATCCTCCAGCTCATCCTCCTCCCCCTCCTCCTCATCCTCCTCCAGAACCTCGTTGTACCCTTCCGGCAGGGAGGCCTCAGGGATGTTCCCCGGGAGAACCGTCACCCACTCAGCCCCCTTGTGCCAGTTGCGCACAATGTTCCAATTGTGCGCAACATACACGAGGTCCCGACACTTCTCGGACCCCAACCTGTTGCGCTTAGCAGTGTGGATCAATTCCCACACTGCCCAGTTCCTCTCACACCCCGATGCGGACACTGGCTGAGAGAGAACGCGGCAAGCAAGCGTTGTCAGCTCGGGGTGCTCCGTCCCGTGCCACGTCCACCACTGGATGGCCGTCTTCTTACCGGCCTTCACGAGCTCACGGTCAGAGATGGCGTCGGGTAGGCCGAAGCTCCCCTGAAGGGTGTTGAATGCCGTCAGGCCGTCCTGGATGACGTGGGATGTGCGCAGGTCCTTCAGAAGATTAGAACGAGAATGATGTGAACTATGAATGAAGCGAGTACAAATATGAAACCCTAGTTGGGTTGTACCCCCTATGGGATACCCCACTATAGCCTACACAATAGCATAAGCTATAATGTTCTGACACACCCCCATAGGCAAAGTGGGGGAGAACAAGGGGTCACAAGACCAGTCAAGCAAAGCAAAGCAAAGCTCAGGGTGGATCACAAAGTCACCACACATTCTGAGCACAAGTTCAAAGGCCAAAAGGCCAGTTCACATGCAAGAGCACATATATATATATATATATATATATACGAGGCTAAGCAAGCAAGAGCAGGAGTATATATATGTGACAGTACAAGCAAGGTCAAGAAGTGAGCAAGTGAGGCAAGACAGGCACAAGACCCAGCTAAGTGCAGAAGCGCTCATGATCACAAGGCGCAAGTGCCTTGGTGAAAACATCAGCAGTGTTGGCCTCAGAGGCCACGTACGCAAGCCGCAACTGTCCACGCTGCAGTAGCTCACGAGTGTGAGGATCTGGGATCGAGTTCAGAAAAGAGAATGAGAATTGAGTCGAATTGAATTGAATTGAATGTCCACCTGGGTACAACACAAGGCTATATATAAGCTCGACACAAGGCCCCGTAACCAGGTGTTACGCGAAGGTTCCGCGGGTTGCGAAGCGTCCCGAACAGATCCTTACCGAAAAGCCAGAATTCGGTAGAAGGCAATTCGGTGGCAACCGAAAAGCCAGAATTAGGTGCACGCAACCTAGCTCGGTGCTATAACTATAATAAAATATAGGAAAGTCTCAGAATCCCAACCACTAGACCATTGGGATAAAAGGGCTTGTTTCAGTAGCGGGTCAGTGCGCCCATAACCCCCCAGGCAAATGTGCCTGTAACCCTTCCCTAGGATCGATCGGGGATCACCAGTGGACCTCTGACACCCCCCCGCACTGGGATGCCCGAAGTGCATACACCGGGATTCGAACCCGAGACCTTCGCTCTGATACCATCTCAGAATCCCAACCACTAGACCATTGGGATAAAAGGGCTTGTTTCAGTAGCGGGTCAGTGCGCCCATAACCCCCCAGGCAAATGTGCCTGTAACCCTTCCCTAGGATCGATCGGGGATCACCAGTGGACCTCTGACAGAAAGCACCTAGCCTAGGAAATCAAGCAATTCATTGTCAGAATCCCAACCACTAGACCATTGGGATAAAAGGGCTTGTTTCAGTAGCGGGTCAGTGCGCCCATAACCCCCCAGGCAAACGCGCCTGTAACCCCCTCTAGGATCGATCGGGGATCTCACAGTGTAGCTCTACTGACACCCCCCCACACTGGGAGGCCCAGGACTGAGCACAGTGGCAACGACCAACATGTGCATACACCGGGATTCGAACCCGAGACCGCTCTGATACCATGTCAGAATCCCAACCACTAGACCATTGGGATAAAAGGGCTTGTTTCAGTAGCGGGTCAGTGCGCCCATAACCCCCCAGGCAAACGCGCCTGTAACCCCCTCTAGGATCGATCGGGGATCTCACAGTGTAGCTCTACTGACATTCATGCATGCATATAATTATCCTATGCTAGAAATAGCATGATAAAGTAAAGGCAAGCAAGCATAGCTGGCATAAGCCGTCGTACTCTCACACGTCCCCCCCTCAAAGCTGGGTGGCGTGAGATACACCCTGCTTCACAAGATAGTCCTTGAGAGCACGGCGTGCGTTGCCCATATCAGCTTCTGCAACCCAACTATCCTCACTGGGGTCGTATCCCTTCCAGCGTATCAGGAACTCGAGAGTCTTGCCACCGCGGCGCCGATGAGAGAGAACGCGCTCGATCTCGTACTCAGGTTCATCCTGTATGAGAACAGGTGGTGGTGGCGGTAGTTGCCGTCCCTGGAACTGTTGGTTGGGGTCCTTGTAGGGCTTCAGTAGTTGGACATGGAAAGCGTTGTGAAGCTTCCATGTATCTGGTAAGCGCAAGCGGAATGTAACTGGTGTCACCTGTGCCTCAACGAGAAAAGGACCACAGAAGCGAGGCCGGAGTTTGGATGGGAGATGAGACAGGTTCAAGTTGCGCGTGTCAAGAAGCACCTGATCTCCGACTGCTACTGAGTGATCACGTCGCTGATGATCGGCATACTGCTTCTGGGAGTTCTGCATCGTGGTGAGACGTCGCTGAGTCTTCTCCCATAGCTGCTGCATGGTGGTGACGAAGTCATGTGCGGCTTGGACGTGTGCCGGTGTAGTTGGCTGCTGTGGTGTGAGTGGTTCCCGTGCGTAACACAGGAAGAAAGGAGTTTTCCCTGTGGCCGCATGTGATGCGTTGTTGTAAGCGAACTCTAGGGTTGGTAACTGTGTGTCCCAGTGGCTGACGCCGTCCTTGCAAGCTGTGCGCAGTAACTGTTCAACCACTTGATTGAGTCGCTCTGTCCGTCCGTCAGTCTGGGGTGGGTATGCTGAAGACATTGCAAGCTTTGTCCCCAACAGTCCCATGAGCTCCTTCCAGAACTTACTCGTGAATTTGGGGTCTCTGTCTGAGATGAGTGTAGCGGGGATGCCGTGGATGGTGATGATGCGGTCGAAGAAGAGTCGAGCAGTTGCTTCAGCTGTAGCTGTGGCGTTGGTCGGTATGAAGTGACCCATTTTGGAGAACTTATCGATCACCACGAGGATGGAATCATGTTCCCTTGAGGTCGAAGGAAGTCCTGTGATGAAGTCGAGGCTAACGACCTGCCATGGCTGCTCCGGTACGGGTAGAGGCTGAAGTAACCCTGCTTTTTTCTGCTTGCTGGTCTTCATCCGCTGGCACGTGTCGCAAGAGGTGACGAACTGCTGCACGTTTGCTGCCATCCCGGGCCAGTAGTAATACTTCGCTATCCTTGCTAACGTCTTGTTGCTCCCGAAATGTCCCGCGTAAGGTACGTCGTGAAACTCCTCCAATAGGATCTGCCGTAGCGTGGCGGAATTCGGTACCCAAATCTTTCCTGAACCCTTCTTTAGAGCTAAGTCTTTCTCCCACTGTAATAGCTTCTTGGTCTGTGCTGTAGCAATCTCTGCGTCCACGGAGTACCCATGTTGGAATAGACCCTTGAGCAGAGCGTTCATCCCGTTGAGCTGGATGCCTGCTACATGTCCGGGGCGGCTCAACGCGTCTGCCTTGTTGTGTAGCCCGGGCTTGTAGACGATGTCGTAGTGGAAGCGAGTTTCCAGGAAGTCCACCCACCGCACCTGTCGTCGTGAGAGTGTCGGCTGTGACTTCAGGTATTTGAGACTGCAGTGGTCAGTATAGACTGTAGTCTTGGCTCCCTCTAGGTAACACCTCCACGCCTTGAAGGCTATGACTATCGCTAAGGCTTCCTTGTCGTGAATGGGGTAGTTTAGTTCTGCTCCATATAGCTTCTTACTGAGGTAGGCGATGGGCTGCAAACCGCGTCCGTGATCCTGCATCAGTACTGCTCCGACTGCTTGGTCACTAGCGTCTGCTTCCACCACGTAGTCCTTGTCCGGATCCGGTAAGATGAGTACTGGCGCTGTAGTCAGTGCTGTCTGTAGCTGCTCCATGGCTTGCTGATGAAGGGTATCCCATTTGAAGGGCGTATCCTTTTTCAGTAGGTCGGTTAGTGGCGCTGCTATCTTAGCGTACTGCGGCACGAACCTATTGTAGTAGTTGGCGAAGCCTAGGAACTGCTGTAACTCCTTCACGTTCTCTGGTACTTTCCACTTCTTGACGGCTTCGATCTTCCGTGGGTCCACGTGTACGCCCTCGGCACTCACCATGTGCCCGAGAAACTGCACCTTCTTCAAGGCGAAGTCGCTCTTTGACAGCTTCACGTAGAACTTGTTTTTCCGCAGGATCTCGAACACCTTCCGCAGATGCTCCACGTGCTCCTTCATGTTCTTGGAGTAGATGAGAATGTCGTCTGGGTACACCACCACGCATTCGTCTAGCAGGGGTCGTAAGATGTGATTCATCTCCGCCTGAAACGTTGCTGGTGCGTTGCAGAGTCCGAACGGCATCACCAAGTATTCGTAGGAGCCGTATCTGGTACGGATCGCTGTGTTGTGGACGTAGTTGTCTGCCATCTTGATCTGCCAGTAGGCCGATCGTAGGTCCAGTTTCGAAAATACTGTTGCTCCACGCAGTTGATCGAGTAGGTCGTTTATGCGCGGTATGGGATATTTGTTTTAGACAGTATGTTTGTTCAGTGCAATGTAGTCGATGCACATCCGTAGACTGCCGTCTGGTTTTGGAGTGAAGAGAACAGGTGCGACGTAGGGAGAGGTGGATGGGCGGATCAGTTATCTGTCCAGTAGATACTCTATCTGTTTTTTCATGTCTGTCAGTTCAGTCAGACTTCGTCGGTGTGGTGCACGTGAGACGGGTTTTGCACCTGGTTCCTCCACAATCTCGTGCTCGTGGGTGCGTGCTGGAGGTACGCCCGCAGGTAGGTCGTCGGGCATTATATCCTTGTACTGCTCCAAGACCTCTTTCACTGCTGCAGGTAGCTCGGAACTCGGCTTCTCCTCCTCTACTGCTGCCATAACCAGTGCTAGGTAACCTGTTTTACTCTTGTTCACCATCTGTTCGAACCGTGCCAGTGTCGTTTCAGGTACGTCCCCTGTATCCATCCAGCTTCGCAGTGCTATCCGCTTCCCATTGTTGTAGATGCACACCTTGCTGTTGACCCAATCGATCTCGGGGTTGAACCGCTTCAGGAAATCTCGCCCCAAGATAAAATCTAATCCTTTGATGTTGGTGACTGGTAGCTTCGGCTTCCACCTCAACGCACCTATATGCAGTTGCAGTGATGCTTTGCCGTGGATAGGAAGCTTCGTACCGTCCACCATGGTTGCTGAAAACTGGGTCTCTTCCGCCTTCTCTCCAATTTTCTCCAATGCTCCGTGGTTACACACCGAGTGAGATGCACCGCTCTCCACCAGTGCCTGGAGGCGTCGCCCATTGCATAACACCTCGAGGAGTAGTGGTTTCTGCTGTGCTGAGTAGCCAAAGTGGGTCTTGTTAATAGGATCATAGGGTACATCAAACTTAATACCTTCCTTTTTTCCTATACCTGACTCAGCGCTTTCCAACTTCACCTGGGGGGTAGGAGGATTTTTCCGAGGCTAGTATAATTTTTCCTGAGCCTGGATGTCTCCTCTAAGCCTTGGCAGCTGTGTAGGCTTCACCTGTGGGCGACGGGGAGCCTTAACACTGTGCTGCGGGGAGAGAATATTAAATCCACGGAACGCACGACCCTTCTCTACGCTCCGTAGTATTTTGCCCAACTTCTCAGGTACCTGAATAATTTATAAAGGATTTTTCTTGGCCTCTAGACCTCCCCTGAATTTTTTGAAGGCTTATAAACCACGAGACGCAATATTCTTCGTTAGAGCATCTTTATAGGATACTTTTAACGAATTCTTACTTTCGTGGGTGTTCGGCTGGAGTTTCCCGGTCGGTGCAGAGTCTTTTTTCGCGGAGCCTCCATTAGCCTCGGCGATTTCCCCTGATGCCGGCCGGTCGTGACGTTTTAAATTCGCGCCATCATTTTCTCCTTTTTTCACCTGCTCCGAAGTCGCCAGGTCGTCGCCTTTGCCTGCTTTTCGGATCTTTACGCGATCGCCAGGTCGATCCGCGGCTACTGGCGATTCCCGTTTTTTTACTTCGGGGGTGCTCCACTGTTTTCGTCCCGGAGTGCCGCACGTGCTTTCTTCATTTTATAGCACGATGAAAACTGATGTCCTGCTGCGCCGCAAAACTCGCATTTTGTCGATTGCTGCTTCGCGTCGTATTTGTCGATATCCATCGGTTCGGTGAACGTGGGGGGTGCCGATCGCTCCGTGCCGAATGTACGGTTCGGCGTGAAGCGTCGTGTTTCGGGTTGACTTCGAGTCAGCGCGTCGTATCGCTCGGCAGCACGCACGATGTCTCTGTAGCTGTTGTAATTCGCCGCAATCACTTGCCACCGAATCTCCATTTTTAATCCTTCGGTGTACGCCTGGATTTTTTCGCCTTCGGTCAGGTCGGTGATGCGGTTGAACAGTAACTCCATCTGCTGCGTGTACTGTGTTACACTACTGTATTGCTTGTGTCGGTGTATCTGCTGTCGCGCCATGTAGGTTGTATTAATTGGTTCGAAACGCTCGATTAAATTTGCCCGAAACTGCTGCCACGTTTTCTCCCCGCGGGCTACGTCGGTGTAGTAAATCCATTCGAGAGCCGGTCCATGAAACAGTGTCGCTGCGAGCCGAATCCTTGCTGCGTCGTGTTGCGGGGTCGAACAGCCAATGGCCTCGAAGTAAATTTCGAGGGTGGCTACGAATCGCCGGACGTCGGATCCCTTCGCGCTTGGATCGAACGCCTTCAGGAGCCTCGGTCGTGCTGCTTCGAGGTTCGGCGACAGTGGTGTCATTGGTCCGTGAAATGTCGGTGTCGCCACTACTGGTGGAGTTGTCGGTGCTGTAGTCGCTGTGGTCGCTGCTGCTGCGGTGGCGAACCCTGGTTGGCTTGTCAAAAAAGCCTCGAGTCGACGAAGCGTCGCCTGCGTCTGCTCCATGTTGGTGCGGAGGCTCGCGATGTCGCTCGTAGTCGCGTAGTTGTCTCCTTGGCCCTCCATGCCTGACATCAACGCGTCCGAAAAAACCGAATCGAGGGGGACTTAGAAAAATTGCGCGGAACTGGTTTTACATACCCGTATCGGCGCTTTCGTCGTCGCCCCCGCGGTTTTTAAAGGCCCGAACTAAGCGGTTGAAGACCTCACGTGTAAACCCGCTCTGATTACCAAGTGTGAGGATCTGGGATCGAGTTCAGAAAAGAGAATGAGAGTTCAGTCGAATTGAATTGAATTGAATGTCCACCTGGGTACAACACGAGGCTATATATAGGCTTGACACAAGGCCCCGTAACCAGGTGTTACGCGAAGGTTCCGCGGGCCGCGAAGCGTCCCGAACAGATCCTTACCAAATTCGGTAGAAGGCAATTCGGTGGCAACCGAAAAGCCAGAATTCGGTGCACGCAACCTAGCTCGGTCCTATAACTATAATGAAATATAGGAAAGCACCTAGCCTAGGAAATCAAGCAATTCATGCATGCATATGATTATCCTATGCTAGAAATAGCATGATAAAGTAGAGGCAAGCAAGCATAGCTGGCATAAGCCGTCGTACTCTCACAAGCAGTCTCAGCACCAACACCCTCAGTAGCTCCAGCGCGAGGCGGACCCGAAGGCCCAGGAGCCCCGGGACCGGCGGCACAAGTACCCTCAGCGGCCGAAGAAGCTCCAGCTCCAGCAGTACGCCTCCAGCGGCGAGCAAACCACTCGCGCAGCTCCTGGGGAGATAGTGGCTCCCGCCGAGATGAGTGCATGCATATAATTATCCTATGCTAGAAATAGCATGATAAAGTAAAGGCAAGCAAGCATAGCTGGCATAAGCCGTCGTACTCTCACAACGAGCAAGAAAGTAACGGAGAGCAATGTGCTTTGTCCTGTGCTCCAGTCGCTGCTCTCGACACAAGGCCAGCATGGCCTTGTTGTCTACGTATAGGACTGGAGGAGAACGAGGCGGCTCTCCAAGGTCGGTCAGCAGGTAGGTGAGCCAGCGAAGCTCCTGGGCAGCCATAGCCCCGGCGTAGATCTCAGCCTCACAACTGGAGCCGAGAACAGAAGACGAGCGGGTAGCCCGCCACGAAACAGAGCCGGAACCAAGACTGAAGGTGTAACCCTGTGACGACCGCTGCGTAGCCTGGTCATCAGCCCAAGAAGCGTCCGCGTGCCCAGTGAGGACCACTGGACTCCGCCCTCCAAGCACTAGCCCCATGCCCGACGTACTGCACAAGTAGCGCAACACCCTCTTCGCTGCAGCCATGTGCTCTGGTCGGTGTCTCCCAGCAGCAACATAGCGTGCGAGAATGCTAAGAGGGTATGCAAGGTCAGGTCGTGTGCAGGTCATCAGGTACATGAGGCAGCCAACAAGCTCTGGATACGGGCCACACGACTCTACGGACTCATCCGAAGGCAGAGCTGAGAGTGAGTGGCGAGTAGGCAGAGGAGTGGCCTGAGGCGAGGAGTACGTGAAGCCGAAGCAATGAAGGACCTGCTGCACCATGTGTGACTGAGTCAGGGTAATGGTGCGGCGTGCTCTATCCCGGGTGATCTGCAAGCCAAGGTAGCTGCGCAGTTCACCCAGGTCTGTGCACGTGTGTCGCTTCTGCAGCTCGGACTTCACGTAGGCAAGTCCAGCAGTGTCAGCTGTGGCAAAGACCAAGTCGTCGACGTACACGAGGATGTAGAACGGCGGCAGAGAGGTGTCGGTGCGCAGAAACAGCGACGGGTCGGCAGTAGAAGGAGCAAACCCAAGAGCCGCAAGCGTAGTCCTCAGTGTGTCGTGCCACTCACGTGGCGCCTGGCGGAGACCGTAGACTGGACGCCGGAGACTCCACTGGGTACCAGGAGGGAAAGACCCAGTGAAGCTAGGTGGGCGGCGCAGCGAGATCTCCTCATGCAGGCTGCCCTGCAAGAAAGCTGTGCTGAAGTCGAGAGAGTGGAGCTCGTAGTCACGGTGAGCAGCAATGTGCAGCAGTACCCAAAGAGTGGTCATCTTCGGGGTGGGGGAGAAGGTCTGAAAGTAGTCAGCTCCCTGCCGCTGACTGAAGCCACGAGCCACGTAACGCGCCTTGAAGACAGGCGGAGAACCCGGCGGCCGCTTCACCCTGAAGATCCACATGCCATTGACGATGTTCGCCCCAGGAGGGGGGACAGCGACAACGTAGGTGCCTGTGGACTTCCACGAAGCCATCTATGCATCCATAGCTGCCTGCCACTGAGAGGAGTAGGGACCCTCTATCGCCTCCGCGTAAGAGCGCTGAGTCGGGATGTCAAGTGCATCCGGGTCTCCCTCAGGGGTAAGCAGTACGGACACGAGATGAGGTGAAGCAGCTGCCAGACACTGGAACTCCTCCTGCCTGTCCTCAAAAACGTCCGTGCCAAGGGCACACTCACCCCCGACGGACGGAGGACAGACAGACTCAGACTCAGCGACAAGACTAGCAGCGTAGTCCAAGCGACAGCGAGCAGCAAAGTCGACAAGCTCAGTAACAAGAGCAGACGTAGCAGTAGACTCAAAGAAGGGTCAGTGACAACAGTAGCAAGGAGACGCGTGATAGTAGGTCTGGCAGCACGAAGAGAGTCCGACTCAGGGTCGGCAAGTGCAGGAAGAGAGGACTCAGGAGGGGAAGGCAAAGGGGCACGCAGAGGAGCAGTAGACGGATCAGAGACATCCGCTGCGTGTCAGGGACAGGAGGAGGACGCTGGCGCGAACTGCGACCACTAGCGCGAGCAGCTCTTACAGGCGACGCAGGAGGAGATGTAGGCTCACGACGCTCAGTAAGACCTCCAGTAGGACCAGCGTAGGGAGAAGGAGCAGGCAAAGGGGATGCAGGCTGTAGCTGTGACTGTGACGGGACAGGCTGTGGACACTCTAAGGGAGGAGGAGGACCAGTAGAAGGAGGAAGACCAAGAACCTGCTGCACGAGTGGAACAAAGTACGGACGAGGCCGCGTGACGATGCCAGAAGCAGCAGGGACAGCACCAGTACCCTCAGCAGGAGCACCCGCTCCAGCAGCACCTCCAGCAGCACCAGGAGCACTCCCAGTAGGACCGCCAGCGGTAGTCTCAGCGCCGACACACTCAGCAGCACCAGCTCCAGTCGAACCCGTAGGCCCAGCTGTTCCAGTACTCCCAGTATGAGCACCTCCGGGACCCGCGACCGCAGCACCCTCAGCAGCCGAAGAACCTCCAGCACCAGCAGTACGGCGCCAGCGCCGCGCAAACCACTCGCGCAGCTCCTGTGGAGAGAGTGGCTCCCGGCGAGAAGAAGCACCCGGAGAAACTCCAGGCGGAGCACCTCCACTCCCTGCACCCCCAGGCGTAGCACCTCCAGGCTTAGCACCCCCAGGCGTAGCACCTCCAGGCTCAGCACCCCCAGGCGTAGCACCCCCAAGCTCAGCACCCCCAGGCTCAGCACCCCCACGCTCAGTACCCCCAGGCTCAGCACCCCCAGACGCAGTACCCCCAGGCTCAGCACCCCCAAACTCCGCACCCCCAGGTCCAGCACCCCCTGGCTCAGCACCCCCAGCAGCACCAGAGTCACCAGTGACCTCGACAGGCTTGACTGCGTCTACCTGGGCCACACCTGAAGGGGCAGGACCCTGAGGGGGGAGGGAGTCTACATGGGGGGGACCTAGTACAAGGAAGAGCAGGGGTGGGGGGAGGGACGGAGTGCGGTAGGGGAAGAGGCGGTAGTAGGGGACCGACTCGTCAAACGTGACGTCCTGGGAGGACAGAACACGTCGAGAGGTGGGGTGGTAGAACTGCCACCCAGGCGCGTCAGGGGGGGAACCCCAGGAAGACGCAAGGAGCAGCACGAGGGGACAGCTTGTCCGCAGACAAGTCGCGGACAAACGCCCGAGATCCCCAGACCCAGAACGCCGACGCATCGCCAACCTTCCCCGTCCACAGTAAGGCTGGGGAGGTCTCCGGCCTGGAGACCCTGGGGTGGAGGTTGATCTGATGCGCCGCGTACCTGACCGCAAACGGCCACAGAAAATGGGGGGCAGCCGCATGCATCATAGACGTACGAGCGACGTCCATGACCATGCCAATGCGGCGCTCAGCAATCCCATTTTGCTGCCGTGAGTCCGGAAGCGTGAAGGTCTGATGGATGCCTCGTGCGCAACAGTAGGCTCGCAGTAGGCCAGAGGAAAACTCTCCGCCTCTGTTCGAGTGCAGACACAGAACAGGGAAGTCCGAGCCAAAGCTCTGCCTGAGCTGCAGACGAGCCGCACGGATCCAGTCGATCAGCACCTCAGTGACATCACCCTTGCTGTACAAGGGGAAGACCGTGGTGTAACGCGAGTAGTCGTTTACAACGAGCAGGAAGTAGCGCTCGTGACCCTGTCCACGGACGCGGGCTGGGCCCCACACGTCCATGTGAAGCGTCTGCAACGGGGCCTCTGTCGGAGGAAACTGGGAGGAGTGAGGGGCAGCCCGCTGGCGCCCCTCGACACAGGGGACACAGGCAGGGCCAGTGCCCTGAGGAAGGGGAGGGAGGGACCGGGGGAGACCAGACACAAGAAGACGGGAGGCCATGCCTCTGAGCCGAAGGAGAGAGGGGTGACCAAGACGGTGGTGCCAGAGGAGAGTCTCATGAGACAAGAGACGACACGAACAAGGGGGCAGACTCAGGACCAGACCTAGACACTGCAGCAAACACCTGACCGGACGAAGCGACTCTACCAGACTCAGTAACGGGAGGAGACGCAGTGGTCAGTGTGTACAAGCTCGACCCCGGCTGACGGGTAAACGTAGCCAGGTGCCGGCCTGTGCTAGCCTCTGTACAGTGCGTCACGCGCTGACGCGCAGGAGTGAACTGGTGTACTCCCCCATCCTGTAGGTCAGCACCACTCACCAGGTTCGTCGAGAACGACGGGAGGTAGAGACCAGACAGGGTGCCAGAGGGAGCCGCCGGACACGGGAGGACTGTGGAGAAGCGAGACAGTACAGGACCCCCGGAGGGGTCAGCCAGAGACACCGCAACCGGCCGACTAAGCGGCATGAGTGTGGTGCGGTCCCGAAAGAAGGAGCGAGACGCCCTAGAGTCAAGAGTGAAGGTGAGGGAGGCCGAAGCCGACGTAGTACCTGAGAGCGCAGACTCACCAGTACCTGAGGACGCAGACACACTAGCACCTAGAGCAGTAGCGTCGCAAGCACCTAGGGCAGCAGCCTCAATGCCCGGATCGGGCGGGAAACAGCGGTAGCAGTCACCCTCATCACTATGAGACACAGCATACATGGCAGAGAGAATAGCATCAAAGTCAAGATCAAAGATGGCAACACCCGCCCTAGACAGCTCGCCCCAGCGAGGAATCTCTGAGGCCTCCGGGAACTGGTGACGCCACGCGTCTGTCAGGCGGCCAAAGCAGCGCTGGGTGGGGTGCGGACCCCCACACTGCTCACCCGCACGGTCGCCGGTGCGCAGGACGTAGGTGCACGGACCAAAACCACTCACGGAGCTGCTGAGGGGACAGGGTCTCACGACCGCGCTGCTGCTGCTGGCGCGCGCCACTACCGGAGCCACTCCTCTGCGAAGGCCCGCGACCAGCTCCACCGCCACCCCCACTGCCTCCGCCGCCTCCACCGCCGCCTCCACCGCCGCCTCCTCCGCCACCTCCGCTCCCACCGCCACCGCCGCCGCCGCCTCCGCCTCCACCGCCGCCACCGACCCCCCCACCCGCACCTCCACTCCCACCGCCACCCCCACTACCCCCACCGCCTCCACCTCCACCTCCACCGCCCGCTCCTCCAGGTCCCTTGCCCCCCTTGCCCTTGCCAGGGCGGCGTCTCCCGCCAGGGGCAGACGCCGCACTGACCGACTCAAGACCAAGGAGGTCGGCCGTAGCAGCAGAGGCAACAGAGGGCAGCAGGGGGGAGGGAGAACACCCCTCAAAGATGGGGGTGCGCGGGTCACCTCGAGAGGCTCCTACAGTGACTATACTCTTCTCCGCTGCTAAGAGGGCCTTCTCGAGGAGATCGACAGTGAGTGTGGTGGGATAGACTGAGAGAAAGTGGTCCCTGACTACACGAAGGGAGTCAGGAAAGCGAGTGACTAGGAAGTACAGAGTGATGTACATGGGGGGGGGGGGTTCTTGGCGCAGAAGTCAGCACGGAGTGCAGCGCGGTAGCGAGTGTCACTAGTGCGGAGGTGCGTAATGAGGTCAGCCACGGTGGGAAAGGCAGCAAGGTCAAGGAAGAGGTACGGTAGCATGAGACGGCTCAGTGCAGCAGTGGCAGGGGAGGAGTAGCGCGCGACTACAGCGTTGTACAAGGTCTGAGCACTCTTGTACTGACTAAAGTGCGCACGCTCGGAGGTAGGGAGGTGGCGACGCACAGCAAGACGTGCAGCAGCGTCGCGCGTGGCGCACTGGGAGCGAACAGTGGCGTCAGCATCAGCAGCAGGGGCAGGGGAAGCGCCAGAGGTAAGGTCAAAGAGAGAGAGGCCGTCCGCCCTATCGCACTGTAAGAACAGCTGCAGGTCGTCTACCCAGACCTCAAAGTCAATGGCCCGACCCTCAGCGTCAAAAGCGAGGACACTAGGGGTAGCCATGACAACAGTAGCCTAGCAGTACTACCTGTAGGACAGGGGCAGTGCAGTGACAGGAGTGCTGCTCTCACAAGACAGGGCTGGTCGGGCAGCTTAGCAGCACAGCAACGCGGCTGCTCGGACGGCTCAGCAGCAATTGCGGTTCGGGCGGCTCGGGCGGCTCGGCTCCACAGCGGCTCAGGCGGCTCGGGCGGCTCGGGCGGCTCGGGCGGGTCGGGCGGCTCGGCTCCTCAGCGGCTCAGGGGGCTCGGGCGACTCGGGCGGCTCGGGCGGCTCGGGCGGGTCGGGCGGCTCGGCTCCTCAGCAGCTCAGGCGGCTCGGGCGGCTCGGGCAGGTCGGGCAGCTCGGGCGGCTCGGGCGGGTCGGGCGGGTCGGGCAGCTCGGGTGGCGCGGGCGGTGTAGGGCCGTAGGGCCGCTGGTAGGGCTCGGGGCCGCAGCGAGAGGGGCGGCGGGGCCGCAGAGACGGGCGGCGGGGCCGCAGTGAGAGGCGGCGGGGCCGCAGCTAGAGAGGCGGCGGGGCCGTGGAGACGGGCGGCGGGGCCGCAGAGACGGGCGGCGGGGCCGAAGTGAGAGGCGGCGAGGCCGCGAAGACGGGCGGCGGGGCCGCTGAGACGGGCGGCGGGGCCGAAGTGAGAGGCGGCGGGGCCGCGAAGACGGGCGGCGGGGCCGCTGAGACGGGCGGCGGGGCCGCAGTGAGAGGCGGCGGGGCCGCAGCGAGAGAGGCGGCGGGGCCGCGAAGACGGGCGGCGGGGCCGCTGAGACGGGCGGCGGGGCTGCAGGGAGAGGCGGCGGGGCCGCAGCTAGAGAGGCGGCGGGGCCGCGGAGACGGGCGGCGGAGCCGAAGTGAGAGGCGGCGGGGCCGCAGCGAGAGAGGCGGCGGGGCCGCGAAGACGGGCGGCGGGGCCGCTGAGACGGGCAGCGGGGCCGCAGTGAGAGGCGGCGGGGCCGCAGCGAGAGAGGCGGCGGGGCCGCGAAGACGGGCGGCTGGGCCGCTGAGACGGGTGGCGGGGCCGCCGTGAAGGGCGGCGGGGCCGCAACGAGAGAGGCGGCGGGGCCGCAGATAAGGGCGGCGAGGCCGCTGAGACAGGCGGCGGGGCCGCAGTGAAGGGCCGCTAGGGCGGCTCGACGAAGTGAGGGCCCGGAGCGCGACTCGGGCTGAACGCGCTTCGGGCAGGAAAAAAAAAAAACTCGATGTGGTGGGCCCTAAGCACAGTTCCCAAGGGGGAACCTGCTCGATACCATGAGAAGATTAGAACGAGAATGATGTGAACTATGAATGAAGCGAGTACAAATATGAAACCCTAGTTGGGTTGTACCCCCTATGGGATACCCCACTATAGCCTACACAATAGCATAAGCTATAATGTTCTGACACTCCTCGCCATCCTTGCGCGTGACGGTCTGCCCTGCGTAGTGACGAGCGACAAACGCTTTGAAGACGCGAGTACACTCCAGGTCGGTGCGGAAGATGCCTTCCTCTTGGTTGACTGGGTTGAGGATCCGGCCAACCACGTGCATGGCACACGCCATGCTATAGTCCCAGCGCTTTTGGACGATGTTGGTCACCTCCGTGCATTCACTGCTGGACAGCACCAATCCCGCCTCCTCCTCCTCCAGCTTCGCATTGATGTCTTCCGTGAGCTGCAGCATCAGATCGTACATCCTGCCCATCATGCCCTTGGCCGTCGAGTCGGTCTTGCGCATGACGACAAAGGGGATCTTCAGGAGGGCGACAAAGAACTCCGCACCTTTCCACCACACGGCATCCATGATCATGGTTGCGAAGGGCTCGACTGGCGGCTTCCTCCCCTTCGCCCAAGCCTGCCACTCCGGGCTCAGCACCATCTGCGTCAATGCACTCCGCACCTCGCAAAGCCGCTGCACCGCGATGAATTGCGTGCCAAATCTGGTGCTCGCCGGCTTCAGCACCTGCTTCCCCTTCCCTCCCTTCACTTGCGGGCTTCGCATGTAACCTTTGGTGAAATGGTGGGCACGCACAAAGGTAATAATCACCCCCGCCTTAGCGACAATGTCCTTCGCCCAATCCATTTTCCCAATGTCCTCCATGAGCAGATCCATGATGTGAGTAGCGCACGGCACATGCTCAATGTGAGGATACTCAAGCATGAGTTCCCTACATGCAGCCGCATAATTGCTGCCCCCATCGATGCATAACGCAACTATGTTGGCGGGCCCCACCTTCTCAATGATCGGGCACAAAACGGATGCAATGTAGCCTCCCGTCTTCGTCTCCAACTTACAGTCGATGCTTTCGGTGAACACTGCACTGGAACCGTTGATGAGCAGGATGTTGGCTTGGGGACGGCCACTTTTGTCCGTCATCATGTCCGAGCCTATCGTCACGCCATCCCGCTTCCAGCTCGCAGTCATGGTAGTGAGCCCCCTCTCGATCTTTTCGCGGCAGCGCACAAGGCCGGTGCCACCAACATACCGCCGCTTCGGGGGAACGTAGCCATGGCCCGCGTCCGTGATGCAGCGCACAGCGTTGCGCCAGTGAGGGTGATCTGCGAGATGCTCCGGGAGGTGAAGTGCCGCCCACATGAGGCAGATGGCGTCGTCTGTCGATTCCTTCGCACACGACGCCCCTTCCCCGTAGAAGTCTTCGATGCACTGCTTCTTCGCTCCACCCGCACACGCCTCGATCGCCATCTCCTCCGCCTTCTTCTTCCCTTCCCTGCAGGCGTGTTTGCCTTCGTACAATTTGCGGACGGCGCCGCGGTCAGCAGAAGGGATAGGCGCCTTGCAAAGACAGACGTCCTTCCGTTTCAGCCCTTTCCAGCGCGTGATGTGTTGCGCGCAACGGAAGGCGCCCCCTACGAACTTAAGCTTGCAGTGCCGGCATATGCGGAGAGTACGCTCAGGACCATTCGAGGTACCTTCAGTAGAGGTAAGGAAATGCTTAAAAACAACATGGGTGTTCACAGGAACATCCTCGTCGTCCGCCATGGTCGCGTCATTCGAAACACTAGGAGCCTCACTAGTGGCACTTGCGGGAGTACCAGAAGGAGTCGACATCAAGTGCAGGTGAGCGGGAGTGTTGAGAGAGAATGAACGAGAGAGATAATACAGATGACGGGAATGAGAGCTTACCTTATAGTCCAGGATGTGGTTGAACCACCTACGCTGGTTGACGACATTCGTGTTTGTGTGTTGGAGTCGCGCGATAGCATAGGGTGCACTGCGGTTCAAATTTTCCCACGTCCCCACATTTTGACAGGTGTGGGTGACGATGTGGTTGGGACGTGCGTACAAATTGGGGTGGGACGTGCGTACATTTTGAGTCGCGTCGCACATTCGCAATTCGTGCGCGACTAATGAAATCTGGTTTTTTTTCGGGTCAGCCCGAACTTTCGCCAACGAATATACGTGCGACTTGCGTACATCGTATATTCGTGAACGACTATACGGAGTGCGCTTATGGTTTCTGGCGACTTTTCCAACATAGCGTGGTGCGGATGTAATACGGGTAACACATGGCATGTGGTGCGGATGCGATGAGGTTCACATGTCAACCCAAAGGCAAGCAACGGCACTCACATGTGAGCAAGTGTTGGGAGGTTGCCAAGAAAGCCGGGAATGGTGCCTGTCAAGTCGTTGTAGCCAAGGTTCCTGGTGGGACCGAGAGTCATGAAGGGCTGGTGTAAGGCATACATAAAGCAGCAGCAGTACGAACAGAGAGGTCGCTAAAAGTTGTGCGCGATCCTAGGCTCGGTGAGAACCTAGGAGCGACAAGGACACACCGCTGCTGGTATTGAAAAGTGTTGTTAGGTACTTATTTTCCTTTAATTATGCTGAAGGTTAGTTCACTAGTTTGTTTTATTTTTTGTATGTATTTGCTTACATTATATTAGTGTAGACAATAGGGGTTGGGTTATATTAGTTATAGGGTGCCCCCTGAGTGACTCTATCAAGTGCTAGGCACCCCAAATTCGGCTTTGGGGCACCCTAGCACGTTTCCCATCCTTGGGGACGCGGCTCCAGCCTGGACCCACGAATTTCAACATTGGAAACGCGGCTCCACCTTGGAATTCGCGTTTCCAATTCGTGGAATCGAGGTTCCACTAGAGGGTGTCAGAACTTTATAGCTTATGCTATTGTGTAGGCTATAGTGGGGTATCCCATAGGGGGTACAACCCAACTAGGGTTTCATATTTGTACTCGCTTCATTCATAGTTCACATCATTCCCGTTCTAATCTTCTCAGAGGGGGCGCTTCATGGCCCACTTTGAGGGTCCCTCACGTCCCCATCTTGACTGTGGGCGACTTGAGCACCCATATGGCCACCCCAAGTCCCTTGGGTACCAAATTCCTCACCTGGACCAGCCCAAGTCGCCTCCAAGCTAGCTCTCTTCACTTTCTGCCTATTTTAGCTTTTGTTTTGCTTGTATTCATCACTTCATTTAACTTTCTGTTTGTAGACCCTTTTCAACATCTCAGAACCAGCTTCTGTCAGAACATTATAGCTTATGCTTTTGTGTAGGCTGTAGTGGGGTAGCCCATATAGGGTACAACCCAATTAGGGTTAGTACTTGTACCCAACTCTTTCATAGTGCATTCATTCTCGTTTCAGTTTTCTCATGGTATCGAGCAGGTTCCCTCGTGGGAACTGTTCCTAGGGCCCACCGATTCGATTTTTTTTTTCCTGCCCGGAGCGCGCTCCGCCCTTGCCCGAGTCGCGCTCCCCCTTTCTCAGTGTGTCGCGCCGCCCTAGCGGCTGTGTCGCGCCGCCCTTGACGGCCCAAATTTGCCGCCCTAGCGGCCACGTTACCTACCCCGCGGCCCTCGAGCCGCCCTTCGCGGCCCCGATTCGCCGCCCTTTTGGCCCCGTCGCCTACCCCGCGGCCCTCGCGCCGCCCTTCCCGACCCGGCCCCGACCCTGCGGCCCCGTTGCCTACCTGCGGCCCCGCCACCTACCTGCGGCCCTGCCACCTACCTGCGGCCCCGTCGCCTACCTGCGACCCCGCCGCCTTTCTGCGGCCCCGTTGCCTACCTGCGGCCCCGTCGCCTACCTGCGGCCCCGCCACCTACCTGCGGCCCCGTCGCCTACCTGCGGCCCCGCCGCCTACCTGCGGCCCCGCCGCCTCTCTGCGTGCCCCTTTGCCTTCTCCTCCTGAGTCCTCTCTTCCTACTCTTGCCGACCCGGAGTCAGACTCTCTTCGTGCTGCAAGTCCTACTGTCACGCATCTCCTTGCTACTGTCGTCACTGACCCTTCCTTTGAGTCCACTGCTGCGTCTGCCCGAGTTACTGAGCTCGTCGACATTGCTGCTCGCTGTCGTCTAGACTACGCTGCTAGTCTTGTCGCTGAGTCTGAGTCTGTCTGTCCTCCGTCCGTCGGGGGTGAGTGTGCCTTGGGCACGGACGTCCTTGAGGACAGGCAGGAGGAGTTCCACATGTAGGTGCTTGTGGACTTCCAGGAAGCCATCTATGCGTCCATAGCTGCCTGCCACTGAGAGGAGTAGGGACCCTCTATATCGCCTCCGCGTAAGAGCGCGGAGTCGAGATGTCAAGTGCATCCGGGTCTTCCTCAGGGGTAAGCAGTACGGACACGAGATGAGGTGAAGCAGCAGCCAAGCACTGGAACTCCTCCTGCCTGTCCTCGAGGACGTCCGTGCCAAGGGCACACTCACCCTCGACGGACGTAGGAGAGACAGACTCAGACTCAGCAATAAGACTGGCGGCGTAGTCTAGGCGACAGCGAGCAGCAAAGTCGGCGAGCTCAGCAACTAGGGCAAACGCAACGGTGGACTCAAAGGAAGGGTCAGTGACAACAGTAGCAAGGAGACGCGTGACAGTAGGACTGGCAGCACGAAGAGAGTCCGACTCCGGGTCGGCAAGAGCAGGAAGAGAAGACTCAGGAGGAGAAGGCAAAATGGCACGCAGAGGAGCAGTAGACGGACGCAGAGACATCCGGTGCGTGCTAGGGACAGGAGGAGGACGCTGACTCGAACCGCGACCACTAGTGCGAGCAGCACGGACAGGCGACGCAAGGCGAGACGCAGGCTCATGACGCACAGCAAGACCTCCAGTAGGACCACTGTATGGAGACGGAGCAGGCAGTGGGGAGGCCGGCTGTAACTGAAACTACGACAGGACAGGCTGTGGACACTATAAGGGAGGAGGAGGACCAGTAGAATGCGGGAAACCAAGAACCTGCTGAAGGAGCCGAACAAAGTACGGCCGAGGCCGCGCGGCGACTCCAGACACAGCAGGGACAGCACTAGTACCCCCAGCGGTAGCAGCAGCACCAGCAGCAGCTCCAGCTCCAGTACCTCTAGCAGCACCAGTAGTACCCCCAGCAGGACCGCCACCAGGACCGACAACAGTAGCCTCAGCGCCAACACCCGCAACAGCTCCAGCTCCTGATGTACCCGCAGGCCCAGCAGCTCCAGTACTCCCAGTACGAGCACCTCCGGGACCCGTGGTACCTGCTACCTCAGCAGCAGCAGAACCTCCAGTACGCACAGCACCTCCAGCTCCAGCAGCTCGCCTCCAGCGCCGAGCAAACCACTCACGCAGCTCCTATGGAGAGAGTGGCTCCCGGCGAGACGAAGCACCCGGAGAACCGCCAAGCACAGCACCAGCAGGCCCAGCTCCCTCAGGCTCCGCAACCCCAGGCTCAGCACCTCCAAGCGTAGCACCCCCAGGCTCAGCACCCCCAAGCTCAGCACCCCCACGCGTATCACCCCCAGGCTCAGCACCCCCAGACTCAGCACCCCCAGGCTCAGCACCCCTAGTCGTAGTACCCTTAGGCTCAGCACCCCCAGGCGTAGCACCCACACGCTCAGCACCCCTAGAGTCAGCACCCCCAGGCTTAGTACCCTCAGCAGCACCAGAGTCACCAGCGACCTCGACAAGCTCAACACCGTCTACTTGGGACACACCTGAAGGGGCAGAACCCTGAGGGGGAAGGGGGTCTACCGGGGGGGGACCTGGCACAAGAAAGAGCGGTGGCGGGGGGAGGGTCGGAGTGCGGTAGGGGAAGAGACGGTAGTAGGGGACCGACTCGTCGAACGTGACGTCCTGGGAGGACAGAACACGGCAAGAGGTGGGGTGGTAGAACTGCCACCCTGGCGCGTCAGGGGGGAAACCCAAGAAGACGCAAGGAGCAGCACGAGGGGACAGCTTGTCCGCAGACAAGTCGCGAACAAACGCCCGAGATCCCCAGACACGGAGCGCAGACGCATCGCCAACCTTCCCCGTCCATAGCAAAGCTGGGGAGGTCTCCGGCATGGAGACCCTGGGCTGAAGGTTGATCTGATGCGCCGTGTACCGGACCGCAAACGGCCACAGAAAATGGGGGGCAGCCGCATGCATCATGGACGTACGGGCGACGTCCATGACCATGCCAATGCGGCGCTCAGCAATCTCATTTTGCTGTGGAGAGTCCGGAAGCGTGAAGTTCTGGCGGATGCCTCGTGCACGGCAGTAGGCTCGCAGAAGGCCAGAGGAGAACTCTCCGCCTCTGTCAGAGTGCTGACGCAAAACAGGAAAGTCCAAGCCGAAGCTCCGCCTGAGCTGGAGACGAGCTGCACGGATCCAGTCGATCAACACCTCAGTGACATCACCCTTGCTGCGCAAGGGGAAGACTGTGGTGTAATGCGAGTAGTCGTCAACCACCAGCAGGAAGTAGCGCTCGTGACCCTGTCCACGGACGCGGGCTGGGCCCCACACGTCCATGTGAAGCGTCTGCAGCGAGGCGTCTGTCGGAGGAAAATGGGAGGAGTGAGGGGCAGCCCGTTGCCGCCCCTCGACACAGGGGACGCAGGTAGGGCCAGGCCCCGGAGGAAGGGGAGGGAGGGACCGGGGAAGACCAGAGACAAGGACACGGGAGGCCATGCCTCGGAGACGAGGCAGGGAGGGGTGACCAAGGCGGTGGTGCCAGAAGAGAGTCTCGTGAGACAGGAGGCGACACGAGCAGGGGGCAGACTCAGGACCAGACCTGGACGCTGCAGCAAACACCTAACCCGACGCAGCTACCTGACAAGACGCAGTGACTGTAGGAGACGCAGTGGTC